TTTGGACCCGTAATGTCTGCTTCATGTGCTTCCCAATTTGGTCCATGACGTTTGGCATATGCTTGAGCTTCTGGTAATGTTAAAACGTTTCTCATTTGTTTAACATCTTTTTGAAGACCAGCAACAATATGAACTAATTCTTTCATTCCATCAGGAACTTTCATAGTTCTATTATATGCACCCCTTTTGTTTGTCCCATGTTTTAATGGAACCTGTAGAAGATTTGCTATTTCTGTCATGTTTAATTATAAATAAAAAATAAAAATTAATTATAAAAAGTTATTCGAATTTAATGGAACCTTTATTTAAATCAACTATTATTTTTCCATGTTCTCCTAATTGCTGATATTGTGTGTAAAGTTCATTAATGCTCATTGGTAAATTCACTTGATAAAGCATAACGTTCAACTGTTGACGACTAAACCCACTGAAAATGAAAAGGGTGGACAGGTTTGATTTAATGTTTGTGCTTAATGCTTTGAAATATTGAACAGCCATGAAGAATGAACACTGAATGTGTCGACATTGAGTTAATAATTGATTAAAATATGATTTCTCATTTGTTATTAGTTTTGATTTCACTGCATCATCTAGAAAAATGAGTGAATGCAAAAATTCTTTATCAAAATTTGAAATGGAAAGTGTTTCAAATAATTCATCCTGTTGTTTATCAATAATTTTATCCTCTAATCCTTGCTTCTTGATTGTATTATATAATTCTTTATACATTAAAAAGTTTTTTAAATAATCTTCTGCTTCTTCTTGTGATAAATAAATAATTGGAATTTTGATTAAATGCTTTAAAGATTCAAATGTATCATCTGAAGGTGAACCTGAACGGTTGATATAAATTAACACATGTGAATAGGGGGAAGTGTTAGCAATAATGATAATTTGTTTTAATATCGTTAATGTTTTACCTTTATTTTGTTTACCAATTGCTGCAGTGATTGAATTTAAGTAACATTCAGAATATGGAATTTTCATTAATTTTTCCTTAGATAGAGCATTTCTATTATCACTCAATGCTTCATTAATCATATCATCTATGTAGGTATTATATACTCCTGCTAATTCTTCAGAATTGAAATCCATTTAATCAAAAATAAATTTATAATTTTAAACATTTCTATTCATCAATATTTCATCATATGAACTTCTATACTGTGGTGGTGTACCTGTTGAATGATATTTCAAACCTTCATCCGGTGTCCATGTCCAATACGTAGTCCTAGTAAACCAAACCTGAGGAGGATTTGTCACCTTTGAACAGTAAGTGTCATTTTCACCCTGAATGATTGGATAAGCTTTCACTTGTACTGTAACTTGTGAGTTGAAAGTTTCTAATCCATCAAAGAATATACCCGCTCCATCACGTTGAACTGGAATAGTGCATAAGAATGAAGTTTGGTCTTTCCATGTTCTAACTAATGGCTTGCCATTATCATCATTCAGTGGTCTAGTTAATGAGTCCTCGTATTCTTCTGTGCATTCATTCACTCCATCTAAATCAGAAGCTTGAAGCATACGTGTAAAGAATATGTCGCCCACTGTGGTCATCGCTTGATCGGGGAAGTTTCTGGAATCTATAGTGACCTGAAGACCTCGAAGCATTGGATTTTCTAAAACCGTTCTTTGCATTGCATTCTTCGGAAATACTAACACAACATCTGTAACATTATGAAGAGCGTATGAGAAATCTGAGCTAATACCTTCAGGAGTGATGCAACCTCCATTTAGTGAACGAACGTCAATATGTTGAGCTGGAATCATGAATGGATCTTCCTTACTGAATAAACGTGGTATTGCTTTAACTGATTCTTCAATTAAACCGTATCCTGGTGTAATGCATTTATCCTCTAAAACTTCCATCTTTGTGCATGAAATAATAACGTCATCAACTATTGCGTCAGCAGATGCGGCGGCTAAGCTTGTAATTAATTTGGTAGGAAGTCCGATTTGTTGGAATTTGCGATCATATTTATAAACATGATTCATAATCTTTTCGTAATCTACATCTTTTATCTTTTCATAAACGTAATTTTGTAAATCAGCAACTCTTAACGGGTCAACCTGACAAAATACTAAAGTATCCCTGAAAACATAATATTTAAGAATGATATCACCAAATGATTTAGGATAATCATCGAACGCCTGAAATGCTAACAAATCATTTACCGGAATAATCATATCAAAAGTGACATCAACTTCTTCATTTGCTTTCTTGAAAACTTCAGAAGGGTCAATATATTTACCACATACCGAGTTATCATATTTTTGAACATTATTATATAATGAATGAACAAACTTTTTAACTTTCCTTTCTGATTTTGGTTTATATGTTGCAAATGCGAAAGATTCACGGGCACAATCCATCTGAAGATAACCGGCATCACCTCTTTCGGTTTCTACTTCTAATTGTTTAAAGCTTTGATTTGATGATTTGTAACCAACGAATAAACGCATGCATTTAAAAGCGTCATCACATGTGAAAGCTTTATTTGAAACTAGAGTTGCTTTAACTTTGCGTTTAATATATGTGTCACCTAATTGGTTCACATCATGAGCTGGATTTGTAATTCTTAAATGAGTTTGTTTATCATCAAAATATGGAGTATCAGAGTCATAGCATGAACTTTCAAGTTCTCTATAATATCTCCTACCATCATTCTTTGCGAATATTTCATTTATCTTTTCGAATGAATGAAATACATTTCCATTAATCGGTTTAGTGTTTGGCACCAAATAGTTAGTCGTCATTTATTATTAAATAAAAAATCAAAATTAAAAGATGAAAATGAATTTTTAATTTTAATGAAATAATCAACTATGGCTGCAGGTATATTTAAGAAACTGTGGGATAAAGTAAAAAGAGGAGCGCATAAAGTTTGGGAAACAATGAAGAAAGGAGCAAATTGGATATTTAAGAATAAAGAAGCAATTAGTGACATTGCTGAATCAATAACACCAAAAGCCGCCCCAATAAGAGAAATATTAAATAAAGGAGAAAAAGTTTATCAAAGACTACAACCGATACTAAGATAAAAATAATATTTATTTTTCCACTATTTACCTCCTATTTTATTAAGTATTCCTTCAGCTATTCCACCAATTGCGTTACCTGCTTGTGCTCCCATCGCTGGATTACCTGCTTTTGTACCTAATACTCCACCTATGATAGTTCCTGCCGTTTTCGCTACTGGTGCCAAAAAGTTTGCAACAGGTTTAATAACCTTTTTATAAACCCAACCCGCAGCTTTCTTAATTCCATCCCATAATTTTTTAAAGAATCCTGCCGCCATTTCTGATTTAATATTAATTAAAAAATATATTTCATCACTTATATTCTAATTTTTATTTAATGATAAATGAAACCGATTTTAAAAATAAATGAAACAGAGGAGGAAGAAATAAATGAAAGTGGAAATGTTCAACAAAAAATAAACGTTGTTAAACCAATTACTGAAACAAAAATTTTTTCATCTGTTGAAGAATTTAATGACTATTATGCTAATAATAAAAAATTATTTGAAGAATTGACAACATGTAAATTGAATAAAATGTTTAAAGTTGATGGATTCAAAATTTCAAAAATAAAAGGGGTGGTTAGTTTGAAATCTATTCCTCAATCAAGAATCACCTCATTAATGAAAATAGATGATTTAACAAAAAGAATAGAAATTATTGAAGAAAGAATGAATCAAATAATTGATTTCATAAATCATGACTCGTTGAGCCCGGGTCCTTAAAGCCCATCACTGAGTTCAAGGTTATATTCATCAAATATTTCATTATTAAATGCAACTTCTGCTAGTTTATTTATTTTTTCAATACGATCATTTGAAAGTCTATCGTTTAATTTTTTCTGAAGTTTTTCATTTTCTAGTTCTGAAACTTTATTTGGATGATATTTAAACCCGTTAAATTCTTTTTCCTCAGTTTTGATCATTAATTTACAAAGAACTTTTGTGGTTGGAATTCGTTTAAACCATTTATCATTAATATTTGTTATAAATTCAATATTCGGAATTAATTCCCAAATTTTTGCATTTTCAATTAATTTATTATCAAATGCAAAAGCAATAGGTTTAATATTATGTTTACCTTTATAATATAAACTTTCTACATAATCATCGAAATAAACATCTACTTGTTTAATATTTTCAAGAATTGGTGAAAGAACATCCATTAATTGATTGACGGTTACGAATCTTGATCCACTCATTTTCTTACGAATTAAAAAAATAAATTATTCAAAAATGTCAGAAGAAAATATTTAAAGTTTCTTTTTTATTCATGAAAATAATTATTTCTAATTTCTTTTACTCTCTCGTATATACTAGATTTAAAGAATTCAGAACATTTCCCATAATCTCCTAAATGTTTTCTTATCCCTAACGTGTGCCATTCATTATATGAAACTGAATAAACTTTATTTTTATCTCTACACCTTTCATCACTTCCAATATATTTATATCTCAGTTTTGATTTAGCATTTTCATATTCATTAGCGTTTAATAATTCACAGTCTTCCTTTTTAAATAAATGTTTTATGTATTCAGGATTAAGAATTCTATAATATTGCTTCCCTTTAAATCTTTGAATATAAACAGGAACACCATCCTCTAAAATTCGATAATCTATTTTATCTGGTTTTACTTGTTGGGTCATTTATGTAAGAATAAAAAATAAATTATTTTAAAAATAATGTTAATTTTAAATGATACAAAATCGTTCAATATTGTATGAATTCTTACGTTTACAAAAAAAGTCACACAACCCATCCTATCCTACTACTTTTCTCTTACCATTTTCTTATGAATTGTAAGTAATATTATTAGTTTTGTATATGTAAATATAAATGTTTTGTTAACTTATAATCAGATTTTTCCGAAAATATTTAATTCAAAATTTTGAATTATTCAAATGGAGTAAAGTTAGTACAAATATTAAAAAACATTCATAACAGTGATAATAACAAATCAATATTATTTATTAAATTACAATCTTTCACGCCAATTCTGGCAATTATCTTTAAGAAGCATAATAATCTTTGATGCTTCAGTGTAAGATTTATCACTGAGAGTATCAAGAAGGTCAATTGTTTCTTGAACAGATTTTTCAGATAATTCGATGGCTTCGTGGTGTTTCTCCATCATATCATATAAGAAAACTGAGTAATTAAGAACTAAACCGAGTGCAAGCGATGAAACAGAAGAAATCTCTGACTTTGAGATCGAAAGGGCATTTTCATAATGTTGTCCTGCTTTTTGGATGGCATCTTGCCTCTCATCACCTTCGTGGTTTTCTGCCATGTATCTGTAATAGTCAGCTTCCATTTTTTCATAGAAAATTCTCGATTCTGGAGTTGAAGCAACAGGAAGGAGGTGATCTTCGATAAGTTGGCAAAGATCTAAGCAATACTTATCGACTTCTGATACTAATGTTTCACGAAATTCTTGAATTTTTTCATAACGTTTTTCAAATTGTTGGCATTCTGGATTAAATTCGTTTTCAAATCTTCGCAATACATCTCTACGCTTTGTGACGATAGTCTTATATAAACAAGATAAAAGATTTCTTTCATTTTCATTCAATTGAGGATTTAATTCGATAATTCGTTTCATCATTGTAATATTTTCGTCATCTTCACCTATACGTGGAAATTCTTGAGGATTTGCATAGAAAACGTTCAATAAATATATCAATCCGGCTCTTTCGTCAATCATTGATTTTGTCACTTTTTGTAATTGATACCCATTGTTTTATGGGTTTGAAACATGAACAAGACTGAGAGATATATAGCAGACATTGCTGTCTATAGCTGAAAGAAGCTATTTGTGCTTTATATTATTAAAGTATTCAATGAAAAAGTTAAAGATCAATCTCGTATAGAGGAAAGCTACAGTAAAGCTGTTATGTCTTGTATTTTATTGTGATTTTATTCATTTAAGATTCCTTAGATTAAGATGAGAAAGATTTTAGGAAAAAATTGAGATGATTGGATATGAATGAATATTTATGGTAAAAAGGAGTGTAGATCTTTAAAATACTAAAAAATTGTTTACTTTCTTATATTAGGACTACTCCTTTTACAATAAAGTTTTTATTTATTCCTTATTCTTTTTAGTAATCGCCTTTTAAGACTAATTTCAATAGATTTATCTCCTTTGATATAATATGTTTCCCAAATGATTAATGGATGATCATCTAATCAAATAAATATTTCTGATAATTTTGAGAAAACGCGCAAAACCTTCTGCAAAGCTTTCCACATATGACATAAACATCAATGTAATATACAACCAATATAGATTTTATCATAATCTTGTTTCAAATTTAGAAAACTATTTTTCTGATACAGGAACATCAATATCTGGAATTCCGCCAATAATATTAAATTTTTGTCCGCTTTTTGATACTAAATACCCACTAAGAATGTCGATTTCAAGTAGATAATGATGAATTTTATTGAGATTTTCTTCAGAAGTTTGTTCTCCCATATACTCTATAAACTCTAAGCCAAGATCCTGGCACCCATTTTTGAATGATTCCATATTAATAGTTCTTAATAATCTGTGCAAATAGTTAGAATCAAAATCCTTGTGGACTATTATCTTTTTTGTGCATACTATTTTAAATGGTTCTCCATTATCGTCAAATAATAGGTTATGTAAAGCCAATCTCATCAGATCGATGAAAACAAGAAATAAAAATGGCCAAACTTTAAACACAAATAAAACATTGCAGTTGTTGGTTATTCTTTATTAGTTTTAGCCAATGAAATTTTTCATGATTTGTGCCCATTTACCGCAACATTGTAAACTATTCAATTAAAATTTTCGAAAAAACAATGGCAGAGCAAACTCCAGCAAGCCAACCAAATGATGAGTGGAAAGAAACTCCTGTTGAACTCCCACCAGTTGATGATGAAAATGAATCGGCAGCAAAACAAGAAAAGCCAATAGATCCAAATACAGTTTTTAGATGCCCACAATGCAGATGCCCATTATTCAAAGGAAGTGACATCATTCAGCACGAAGCTACAAAGCTTCGTCCAATTGCAAAAAAGAGGAAACAATTCGCTTCCAAAGAAAATGGTTGCCATTCTTACTTTGTTGAAAAGCCAGAATGGCTCGATGCAACTGGAAGAATGAATGATACAATCTACTGTCCAAAGTGCAAGATAAAACTTGGCCATTTCAACTGGTATGGCTCACAATGCTCATGTGGCGAGTGGATTAAGCCATCATTCCAATTCCCAAGGTCACGTGTTGATGCCATGTAATATTTTATTTTGTTGTCTAAATATTAATAAAATTTTTTAATAGAACCATAACGAAATGCAATATTTATGTATCCGATTTATCATACCATAAAAATTAGATAATTTACCTTTTTGAAAAGAAATAGAAAACCATATCTTTTTGATGAAAACTGAAAATAATTGAATCCATCATTTAGACAGCTAATGAGCAATTTACTAAGACATTCTATGCAGATAATATTGGCATATGACCACTTCTATCGATTTTTTCAATGAAATACAGCATTTGTATTAAAATTGCAGCACCAGCATGATTGAAACATATAAATAGTTAGCCACTAGTATTGCTAGACTTCAGAAGTAAGCTTGAATAAACAAATATTGATGAAATCTATAATTACATAAACAGAGTCCAAAATTCAAATAATTATTCCTACCTCATGTAAGAAAATCCAAAAATATGATTAATTTATAACAAAAACATAATAATAAGGTTTCATTTATTTAAACATGAAATAACAGAACTTACGTATTTGGGAACTTTCAAAGGATGGAATTTATATTCGTTTTCTACTTTCTCATTGTTTTCTGTTTGAGATTTATTTGATTATTTTTCTTTTTCGGATCTGCGTTTCCTTGCTCTTTCAACAAGCTTCATGTTAGGATTTATTGGTTTGTAATAGCAATTTTCGAGCTCTTTTTTCTCTAATAATTCTTCGTTATGTTGAATTGTTTCTAATTTGCTTTGAGACTCCTGAAGTATGGTCTTTTCGATTCTATATGGTTTAGGCTTAGCATAAATATCTGTTTCTTCATGTAAACTCTGAGAAAGAATAAGAGATTGACTTTTTTCTCTTCGTTTTAAGGCTCGTTCTGCCCTCTTAATCACTCCTTTATCTAATTTTTGATGTTCTATCTTTGGTGATTGAAGGAGTGCTTCCTCGGTAAATGATTTTGACATTAATAAGGTTTTCTCTCTTTCAAAGAAAGATGACTTATCGTGGATGACTGGCTCACTTGTTGACTGCGGTATTTGGATATCTTTTGCAAAAGAAGGAGTGCAGCCTCTATCGGGAGATTTACTGTAGTAAGTATTGTAATTCTCAAGGTTTTGAAGTTTTTCTGGGGAGTTTATTGAATTTCTTACTATTGAAGAAATGAACTTGCAATCTTGCTTTGTTGTGTATCCAGAAGAAATATCTTTCTCGGCTTCTTCAACGAGTATATCACATGTGAGGCGATCAAGAACAGGTATTGAGCCAAAGCATTTCTTCCTTGGTGATGTTTCAGTTTGTGGAGAGTAATCTTGTTGTATAGACATGTAAAAAATTTGAGCAAAATTGTTCTCTCAAATATTTGATAATTCATTCGAATTTTGGTCATGGGCCATCTGTGCATAAACATACTAACAACATTTTAACGGATGCATAAAAAAATGACAATGAATTGTTCTAAAATTGAATAGAATTCTGAATTGAGAGGATTTCTTTATTTCCGAGCAACAAAAATTTCACTACTCGGATAAGTTATTAGGTATCTTTTGCTAGTGGTTTATTCATTTTCAACTTGTTTTTGCCATAAACTCGGAAACAATCAACATTTAGATATTGCCAAAACCCGGACATTTAGCACGTGTTGATCATCCCCCTCAAAAGAATTAATATGCAGAAATCGCAACGAGCGTATTATCTAATCAGAAAACATCAATATCACTAAGGCTCTCTTGAACAGCAGATATAGAACTTTACCGATAGTAGAAATTTCATCAAAAGAATGAGCATCTTACTCCCATTAGTGCACATTACTAATTATACGCAAAAATAAAGAAAAAGAAATTATTATAATTGATTGTTTAAAGAAGTCATTCGTTTAATCATTAGAGTCACATTTGTTAATTATACGAATTTACAGGTCTATGTATTTACATCAAAATTTACAATTTCAAAAATAGATACTTAAATGAGATCTGATATCAATAGATCTATCATATTATCTTTTCTTATGATGTTTCGACAATTACGCTGAAAGTCTTGTAAAATTTTTTTATAAAATCAATGCTGGAACTCAAATATTTGTAAGTAATAGCAGGATTTACCATACACAGAGCGATAAATGATGTTTTTGTTAAACTGTCATTTTGATATCCTTCTGATATTTCTTCATCTGTTCACATCGTAGAAATTTTGTTAAGTAACGTGAGTATCATACTTAAAATGAAGTAAAAATTATTGATTGAGTTTGAAATGAAGGAAATAAAAAAAAATCTGAAAACAGCTATTGGCATATCTCTGAGCATAGATGTATGAATCAACCCTATTGTTTTATATCTACCTTCTAGTCCATTATCTATTACATCTAATAATATTGAATTTATTCAAAATAATATGTAATTTTAACAAAATATGGTACATATGTTTCAAAATTTGTATAGATATTATCATACTATGTTATTTCTAGCATTAGAAAAGTAAATTATGTTGAAATGTCAATACTTATGACTTTTTCTTGATTTGGAATACTAAAAATGTTATCAAATCTTAGAAATAAAAATTGAAATGATTAAACATTATTAATGAAAATATCATATATAAATTTCAAAACAGATATATTTTAATATATATATATAAGCAATTAGAAAATACTCGTATATGATACAGAATTACTATTTGACTTAGAATATGATTTGGAGTATGAGTAAGAGTAACTTTTTTCTTCGGAATTAGAATCCGAAACATCATTTTTCATCTTTTCTTCATTTCTTTGTCTTCTTCCTTTAGAACTTTTACTTGATGCTTTAGAAGATTCATATGAATAATTTCCTGTTTCATCATCTGACATATCATCTGCTTGATTTCTGTTCTTGGTTGAATATGAATAACTATAATGGTCTGAATTATCATTTTCTTTCGATTTATCATCCAATTTTCCTTCTTTATCATCTTTATTTTCTTTCGACATATCCTCTGATTTATCTTCTTCTTCATTTCCTTCTTTATCATCTTTGCTTTCTTTTGATTTTTCTTTACTTGACTTTGATGAATATGATGCATCATCTGATTTTTCTTTCTTTTCTTTCGATTCTTCGCTTGAATTATTTGATTTTCCAGATTGTTCATCTTTGTTTTCTTGATTTTCTTTCTCATTTTCATCATCAGTTACTACAACTTCTTTCATTTCTTCTTTATCTTTATTCTTCTTCTTTTCACGATACGCAACAATCACAACATAAATAATAATTGCTATTGCAAGAACTGTTGTAATAGCAATTGATATGAGAAGAATTAACTTTCCATGTCCTCTCTCTAACTCTTCTTCTTTCTTGTTGTATTCAATAACATCTTGTTTTGTTGTTCCTCCTCCAGTTGTTGGCAATCTTAAAAACAAATTTTCTTCAAAGATTTCATCTTGTTGATCAGTATTTTCTTCTGATGATTCGGCAACTGGTGAAACTTCAACTTTAACTTTTGCAGTGAGTTGGAAATTGGAAAAGTTTTCTTCTTCAAGAATGAATTTGTGCATATCATAACTAGGATAAATAGTAATTGTATTAAAAGAAGTTTCATTTGATGAATTCGAATCTGATGCTGCAAAATAGTTGTTAATTTTATCATTGTTACTACTAACTTTAACATTAAATTTCTTTTTGTTATGAATTGTGATTGAAAACATTTGAATTTCTTCTTGATTTATTATGATTTCTTTTTCAATTGAGAAACTAATATTTGTTGTAAATATTGATTCTAATATCATTGGTGTTAAGAAGAATCTCTTTTGAAGAGGAGGTAAAACGCCAATAGCTTGTATTTTACATGATTCGGTCTTTGATTTACACTCTAGTTTTATTAAATTGCTTAATCTTTCATCAGGTTTTTCTGTTGTCAAACTAAATGGATTTTCATATTTTTTGATAATTCTATTAGGCCTGACATGCAAATCATATGCAGAATAATGCATTGTATCATTGTATTCGATAGTTGCTATGAAATCATCTTTGCTATCTAATACAAAATTGCCATATAAGCATTGGCAATCTCCTGGTTTGATGGTGAATACTTTTGAATCTGTGTACTTTAATCCACTATCTCTATTAGCAAATTTCGGATTCCATATTTCATTTACTATACATTCTTTTGTATCTTCTGATAAATCATAGGGATCAAACTCTGTTATGTTAAATATTGGTTCATTTAATTTAGTGAATTCTTCAACTTCAGCTTTAGTATACACGCCACGCTTATATGGCATCATATACAATTTTTCTTTGTCGAAAATGCTTTCAACTTCATTTATTTTTTGTTCATAGATAAGAGATGCATATTCTTTTCTAATAACATTTTCTGATATTTGTGATCCTCTAGCCCAATCCATTATTGTTGTCGGTGCAGAACTACCCCGTCCATTAAATGTTACAATATTCATACGTGTTGTGAAGTTTATCTTCTTTTCTGGAACTACTATCTGGTGAGAAACGAATTTCTTGCATAAATAGAGATGAGTATTGAACATTGAATAGAAGATATGAGTTGATTCTTTTAAAGAAGTTGTTATTAATACCAACTGTATGAAGAATGGTTCTGATGAATTTTTAGCATAGATTTTTGCAAGTTGATAATATTGCTGATTGTCTGTTTCAAGAATGGCAAATGGATTATCATAATGACTGGGTTCTGAGTCATACATTGTGTTGTAGTAATAATCTACTTGTATTGATGTATTGGCTGCAACAACAGTGCTATAGGAACTGCATAAGATTTTTCCTGCAGGAATTGAGTAATTATAAAAAGTTTGATGGCGTACCCTTGGTGAAACAAATTTATAGCAATCATTCGATTTATCAAACATGTCTGATTTGATTATTTGAACAAAGAATCCAAGCAGCATATTTCTTGGCGATAATTATAAATTCAAAAGTATTACCAGACTTTGAATTTTTGAATTAGTTTTCAAAAATTCGAATTATATTAACCTGCTGATATCAACGTCTTTTTTACTTAATTTTAGTGAATTAAAAAAAACATTGAATTTTCTATTTATATTTTAATGACCATGCCAATGAAAAAATAATTCTTGTCTTAATTGGTCAAAGTGAGTTAATAACTCTCAATTCTATGAAAAACCAAAATCAATTAAGTATTGAATTTTCTGAACTTCAGCCGCTTATCGTTATACACTCATTCAACTTTAATTTGTAATTTTTATTGGAAAGTATCTTCAGATTGCTCTTAACAATGGCGAAACCTGTTACAAAATTTAAATAGTTTACAAAAAAATCTGATTTTGTTGAAAATTTTTATCGAAATATTTGATATGTAACAGATTTCTCTATAAAGTATTTTCGCTCGTTTTTGCAAATATTTTTAAATGCCGAGTTCGAAATTTGTTAGCGGAACTCACAACTAAACCAGAAAATGAATAAATTTATCCTATTTAAATTGAAAAGTATGGTTATTTAATCTTTTGAAATTCTCAAATTGAATTATCGTCACGATGGCTGAACAAAAAAATCCTGGATATGAGTCGCATTCCATAAATTAATTCACATCAAATAATTTGAAAAGTGGTTCTTTCAGAAAAAAAAATCTATCATATTAATATGGGAAATTTGAGTCAAACAAATGCAATTATGTCATTAATCACGTTTTTCCAGAGCATAGGATCTGCAATTGATTTTGATAGATTCCCTGTAACTGCCAAAATCAAGAAATGGGCAGGTGTTCTGAAAAATTTTATCACATTAATAGCAAACGGCGCAATTGGATATCTAAACTCCCATGACTTCAGACTTATCATGGCACTTATCATTTTGGTACTTTCAGCTGTTACTTTCATACCAAGTTTCATGTCAGGATTAAAGCATAGATATTTGCCATTGAGATTGATGATCTATATACCTGCCATTGCACCATTGTTAGCTATATTTTACCTTGAACTCAAGATTTATGTTCAACTTTTAATTTTCATATTTTCACCATTATTCTTCTTTGTAATTAGGTTTTTTGCATGTAAATGTTGGCGAAATGTATTTGATGATATCAAATATGCACCTACAGAAGAAGATCTCCACAAACAAAAGACGTTAATTATCAATAATTTCAATCCGGATGAATACCTCAAAACTGTGAGAGAAAGTATACAAATTAGGGAGCCAAAATTATACTTAGACCTCTTGAAAATAATTGCCGCTATTGGACTATTTGTCGCCTCATATTTCTCTAGAAAAACCATTTTTGTCGTTATTCCATGTGCATTATTCGGAGTTATTCTTTTCATTCCAGGTGTTTTGGGTCTTTGTGAATGTTCTCGAAAGTTTAAATACAAAATAAAGGCAATTCTAAAAAGATTGACATTTACAGTTTTCACATTGTTCTTAGATATCTTCTATATTCCCTTATTGACTTATTTCATTCAAATTTTATATAGTACAAATGTACAATGTCCTCCAGGATATTATTGGGGTTCATTTAGAGCTATTGATACATTACTTAAAACGCAAGGCCATTGCATTCCTTGTGCTGATACATTAAGGCTAAAATATCCAGGATATGAAGGATATATGAACACACATTCAACAAGAATAGGTAATGTTGATGAAAAAATGCTTAGGGAAGACTTTCAACAATATCTAGCAAATAATAGTGGAATTTATAAAGATTCTTTTAATACAATAAATTCCACATTCCAAGAAGGATATGCCCCATCATATGAACTGTGCCCGCATTTATGTTCTGGTAGTCCAATTCGTGTTGTTAAGACAGAACCATCAATTTACTTTGACTATGATATTTTACCTATATATACAATATTTTTGTTCTGGGCTGTTGCATTTATTATGATCGGATGTCCTGTTTTGTACTTCGTTTTGATATATAGAGCGAGAAAGGAATTCAAAACAATACCAGCATATGGAGATTCCAAAGAATATAGATGGTATTGCTTAATGAGAAGAGTCGATACTGTTGGCGCTAAATATTGCAAAGACTTAACATATTTTAATCCTTATTGGGGAATTGTTAAAATTTTATACAAGTTTTTAGTTTTACTTATTACAACATTAGCAAATCTTGCACACAAAAACATTATTGGATGTCTTCCTGCGATACATATATTAATGTTTATTTTAACATTTGTTCGAAAACCATATTTTTCTTTCCTCAACAATTTAGTTGATATGATATTGTATGCAACTAATGCTGTTGTTGGAATTATTGCAACAATTAATGTTTTCAAACCAATTCCTGCAAAGGTTAACTCAGCATTTGTTATTATTGCAGATGTCGTAGGTGTAATTGCAACTGCTGCAGCTATTGTTGCTAACATGCTTGATAAAAAGAAACTCGAGGATCCAACAAGACTAACAGATAATGATCTAATTAGAATCAAAAGAGAAGAAGAGAAAAAAGCTGACGAAGAGAAAGAAAGAAAACAGAGAGAAAAGGAGGAAGCAAAACAAGCCGAAGAGAAAGATAAAAAAGGTGAAGATAAGAAGAACAGAAAGAATTCTAAGAGAAAGCATCCAAATTCTAAGAGAAAACACCATAATTCTAAAAGAGGAAAAGATAATGATTTATTGGATAATACATCTGACTCCAGTGATGTTGAAGATGAATCATATTCGAAGAATCAGAAGAAGCACAAAGATGACATGAGTGATTTCAGTGACAGTGATGATGAACGCAGTCATAAATCAAAGAAGAAAGAAGAATCAGAAAGTGAAGGAACAAAGTCAAAGAAGAAAGAAGAATCAGAAAGTGAAGCTTTGAAGTCAAAGAAGAAAGAAGAGATTATCGAAGAAGATAATGTTGACGAAGATGAAATTCTTGATATTGAAAATGTTAAAGAAGATAGTGATCATGAGTCAAAAGATAATAAAGAAGATGAAGGAAAAGAAAAGAATAAAAATGACAATGAATCCAAAGATGAGGAAGAAGAAAATTTATACTTAAATATCCAAAATTTCAAAGGAAATATCAGATTCTTGTGGAGCACAACCAGTCAGATAAGCACGTTATTGGAAAGAATCTTTTCATTCTTGACGACATTGGAAGTACTATGAGGATAATACTAAATCATAGGACATTTAGTATGTGTGGAGCATCTAATTAATAAGTATCAATATGTTGAAACAGTTGTGCGTGTTTCTTAAATCAGAAATCATCAAGATCAAATTGCATTCTTGGACATCAAATGTTATGGTAATGCTGATGTTAAATGTCTAATCGTAATAGCAAATAGTTAATCCTTGTCAATGAATAATGCCAGCTAAATGTTTTGGGTATTAATGTAAATTTAATTGTTAATATAAGACATTTATTCAATTGTCTGAATTGCATATATTTAGTATCCTAAAGTACTGATGAAGAAATTTACTACTAATTATCAAGTTTAAAAATAGAAGATTTAATGAGGTACCACATTAATAGGATTGATGTAAAGGAACCTGTTATGATATTATTACAGCTGATATGGAGGTTTATTATGATTTTTGAGAAATCAACATTACATGCAGAGAATGAGGAATTTCTATGATATTCTTTTTATTTGTAAGATAACTAAAAGATAATGTGCCTTTGAATACATTAATTTGATTCCGAAGCTGTATTTTTCGTTTTGAATAATTTAACAAAACTACCTCTGAAATTTGTGTTCATGCGAAATGAATTGAATACTATACAATTTAGAATTTATTCTCCAAATAATACACAAATAAAATTATTTTTATTAATTTTTTAAAAAACGTGTCTCAAACAACTTTTGTGAGGCATAATTGATTTCAATTATTGATTATTACGCTCGGAATATATTATTATATCAATAATGGTCGATCATTTTGTAAAGAATCTTTTGAAAAATAATTAATTCTTCCACGAATTTGTTCCGGAGAGAGAATTTTACATTTATGCATAATATAAATTGATCCTCTTTATTTTTAATCCTCGGAAACCTCCAAAATTTTGGCGAAAAATCGATTTTAATAAAAAAATCAATCATTTTCATGAATCATTTTTCTTCTTTTGATTTTTTTTGAAATCAAATATGTTCAGAACTATACATATTTAATAATTTTCCTATAATCCGGAAAAGTTCGTTATTTCATTCAATTTTCAAAACAATAAAAATTGTAAAGTATGGCGAACCAAGGATTTAGCTCTAAAGGATTAGTAGGAGTGACATTCAACAATAGATGGATCGCCAGGAAACATTTAGGTGGTGGTAGCTTTGGCGATGTATATGAAGCTGAAGATATCGAAACTCAATCTGTTGTTGCACTCAAATTTGAAACAGGAAATGCAGTCCAGTCGCAATTACCAAACGAATACAAGTGCTATTCTGCGCTACAAGGATCTCCAAACATCCCTAAAGTATACGGACTTTTTGATTACAAGAAATCTACATTCTTGGTCATGGAAAGAATGGGAGCTTCCTTAGAGTCATGCTTTAAGAGAAATGGAAAGCGATTTTCTCTAAAAACTATTTTAATGATTGGTGACCAACTGTTTCGTTGCATTGAATACATTCATAAATCAGGTATTTTGCATAGAGATATCAAACCCCACAATTTCTTAATTGGACTTGGCGAAAATAGACGACAAATTTATGCTATCGATTTTGGTGTCTCCACTCGCTATATTGATCCAAAAACCAAGGAGCATCAGATTTACTCTCCAAACAATGGTCTTATTGGCACTGCTCACTACGTATCTGTTAACACACATCTTGGTGAAAGCCAATCTAGACGTGATGACCTTGAAAGTATAGCGTATGTTCTTATCAGATTCCTTAGAGGTAGCTTGCCATGGCAAAAAATTAAAATCAAGGATCCTGACGAGAGACAGGAAAAGATATCACAAATGAAACTACAGACTACACCAGAGCAACTATGCTTCGGTATCCCATCAGAATTTAGACAAATATATGAATACATTCGTCGCCTTAGATACGATGAAACTCCAAATTATTCTTGGATTAGACAGACTCTTCAAGGCTTGTTTAATAAACAAGGCTTTGTCAACGATGGAATATACGATTGGGATTTCCAAGCTTCAATTCATCGTCCTCTTCCTTCAATTTACCTTATGAGAGCGGCCACTGCATATATCCGCTTAAATGAAAGGAAGATCAAGCCAAGAGATGAGTATGTCAAGTATCCTAAGGGAAGAAGGATTTTCTACAATGAAAAATGAAAAAATTAATGTTTGTTTTCTTTTTGTTATAAAAATAAATTCTATGTGTTAAAAATCAAATAAAAAGAAGATTATTTTTGAATTTCAACAACGATCATTCAAAAAATATTTTATAATTTATTTGAACCAACCTTTCTTTGGGGTTGGAGTAGGTGTAGGGGTCACCTTTGGTGTTCTAGTTGGTTTTGGCTTTGGTGTATTAGTAACTAAACATTCAGCTGGTGTAGAAGGAGTATTAAAAACAGATTTTCCTTTGATGAGGAAGATAATAAGTGCTATTGCAACAATTGCAGCTACAATAATGAGAATTGTCTTTGTTAAGCCAGATGACTTCTGTTTGAGGTCGTGGTCTTGATATTGTCTCAAAGCTCTTTCTGCTCCACTTAAGAGCTTCTGAGGCTTATCTTCTTCAAGGTTTAAGCCACGGCTCCTCAATCTGCTTTGAACATCGCCGCCGCCAATTGGATCGTTGTCTTCTGTTTCTGGGATTTCAGTAATGGTCTTGCAAGCAGATGATTGTAAGAAATCGATTCCTTGGCTGAAGAATTCTGCCTTCTGAGACTCTTTAGTCTGGAAAGAATCAATGAAATTCAGTTGATCTTGCATATCAAGAAGATCAAGGACTGGTGGATTAAGTAAAACGTTTGATTTTTCCATATTACGTGCTGATAATGTTGCTCTTTGTTGTGCAAATGAATCAAACTTCTTATCTAATCTCTTATGTACGTTTTCTGAATTTATCGCTTCGCTCACTTCGCGCCACTTCTGGCGAAGTATTTCACGCTTCCAGGCTGAGAACATTGGTTTCATTCTTACACTTCTGAGGCGTGGATTACTGCCTTTATCTCCAAGGTGTTGAAATACATATTGGAGCTGTGTTTGGCGGTTATACTCCATGGAAAGGTTAACCCAACGAAGCTTGTTCAGTTTCCTGTTAATTTCAGTATTAGTTTTTTGTTCTTCTGGTGATAATTCATCGTACATTGTATTAACATGGGTCAAATCCTCTTTTGATCTGTTGAGCTCACTCATGCTGAGAGAACATACATGGATTGGAGATCTTCTTGACATGAATGCTTTGAAGCGGCGTTAACGACGGTTTCTGACAAATAATCGTACTTTTAATTTAAATAATATAAATAAATACACACAACTATGGATATGCATAATTTCAATTAGTTGCTTCCTTTTGACACAAAATTGAATCTGAAGATGAAAAATATTAGATTTGTATAATATATTTTAGTCTAATTAACACACACCGGAAATAACTATCACATTTATGAAGGTATGATTGAATCATCCACTTATAATATGAGCTTTATATATATTCAAATCCATATTTAAGGATTAATAAGAAAAAGGAACATTGCTTACCTATGCTTTAATTAAATCTCCTCTTATAAGAAATCAATCTAATGTTCAATTTTGATGAGAATTCGTTATTAAAAAAATTCATTATAAAAGGATCAGAATATGATATAACTAGGCAATAAATAGAAAATGGAGCAATTTCGAAGTAGAATGAATGAAGGTCCGATGGAAAACTTATCCATTGATGAAACAATTGCTAATCTAATGGACTCTTCTGAGTTCGAAATCAATAGCCAAAATAGAAGGAAAGGAAGATTAATAGAACTTTATGATATCCAGGAAGAAATTGAAAAAAGATTTACGAGATTAAATGCATATGCAAAGAAATTAGCAGATACAAAGCAACAACTTGATAAAGAGCGTAATGATTATGGAATTGAACTTCTAAACAAAATCAATCAGATTGAATCACAAGAAAATGCAGCAGAAATTAAAATAAAACAGCTTAAACGAGAATTAGACGATACAGAGTCTCATATTTCAGAAATGGAACTTCAAAAAATATCAACCGAACAAAAAATTCGAAAACTTGAAGAAAATTGTACAACATCTGAAGCTCGTCTAATTACAGTTACCCCAATAGATGAAGACAAACTAAATCAAGATAATATTACCCCGATCATCGAGGAAATAAAATCAATACAAACTTTAATCAAAGAAACGAAACAACATTCTAAACAGATTAGCGATGTTATACAATCTCATGCGAAAGACATAGCATTTACTAGGAAAGAAGCTCAAAAAGAAATCAATCACGCAGAAAAATACTCAAGAGTCATTGCTAATGAAAAAACAAGATTTAAAGAACTTTCAAGCAATGAAAATTTGAAGTCAGAATCATTTTCGTCTAAAAGGAATCAAATTCTCGAGCATAAAGATCAAATGAGGAACGATATCGATAATATTAACAGTAACATGGGAATTATCATTGCAAAAATAAATAAACTAAACGAAGATGAACAGAAAATCAAATTAGATATTGAAAAGAAACAAAAAATTAATGATGATTTGAATTCTAAACTTGAAAAACGAAAAAATGATTTGTCATTAATGCAAAACAAGATAAAATCAGCTAGATCAGAAATGAACAGAAGAAAGAGACATAAAAAAGAAAATTTATTGAGAATTATTGATTTATCTTCTCAATTAGAAATAACTCGATCAACACAAAAGGTAGTGAATGGAGAAATGGAAAAGATGCTTGAACACAGAATGAACATCCAGCAGAAACTTGAAGAAGCCGAAAATGATTATAAAATTTATGAAATGGATGAAGATGAGTTAAAAGATCATCTAAATTACGTCGAAACACAAATGATGATTGCTGAATCAGACAAAAATAGCATAATGGCAGAGTTACAAAGGCTTAGACAACAAAAACGTTATGAAATGAAAGATTTAAGTTTGAAATTTATTAAAGCATCACGAGTTTGCGATGAAATCGTGATAAAAGAAAAGATTGAATTAGAGATATTGTCCAAACTAGTAGAATCAAAGAGAGATCTTGTGAAAATAAAAAGATTAAAGATTAATATCCTTAAAAATAAATTAAATGACCTGACATCCAAACAGAACATAGTTGATGATCCAAGTATTCACAAAACTTAATTCAAATACCTAGCATCTCTAATTTTCTAGAATTATTTTTATATTTGTTTGTATTTTATTTGTAAAGTTACACATTTTTCTAAAATTTGAATCTATTTACACATCCACCTTTAATAAAGATTTGAGGAATTGCATATTATTGTTTCAGTGTTGATTTTGATTTAAATTTTCCGATTTTGATGTTATATTTTTAATACACTCTGTGTAAAATGACATTGATAACTACGAATCATTCACAGTCTTGTTAAAAAAACATTGACATTATAAATGAATGCATGAGATATTATTCAATTGATATTGAATGTTTTTATAATGCTATTGGATCTCATAATAACGAATTTGCTAAATTTCTTATATCTAATGCCGCAAATGTAGAAGCATTATGCGATGGAAAAACTTTGCTTCATGTTGCAGTGGAGAATGATTGCATTGAGACTGCAGAAATTCTTCTTGCCAATGGTATTAACATTAATGATTCAACTTCCGAGGAGGATTGCACACAAATTTATTTTGCAGTGTGCAATCGAAATAAAAAAATGGTCGAGATACTCATATCTCATGGTGCAGATCTTAATTTAGAAATGACCAGTAAAACTAATCTACTTCAAAAGACAATAGAATTGTATGAGCCAGCTATTCTTGATATCCTTTTAACTCATGGTGCAGACATTAATGTTACAGATGACAATCTGAATTCTCTTTTGCATATTGCGGCAATTAGTAATTACAAAACTATAGCTGAAATTCTCATTAAACATAATATTAATAATTGAATTCTAAATCTTCAACAGTAAACTCCAATACATTGCGCAGCAATATATAATAACGAAGATATTTTGGAGCTTCTAATTAATTATATTGATAATGTTAATGCTATTGATGTGGATGGGAATACAGCTCTTCACTATGCTGTGATGGAGAATAATATAACAATTTCAAAAATTCTTATAAAACATCAGGCTGATTGCAACATAAAAAATAATGTGCTCCAAACACCTCTTCACATTGCTGTCAGTGATGGTAAATATGAAATTATCAAACTTCTTGTTTCACATGGAGTTGATAGTAATGAAAAAGATGCTTCTAGGTGGACTGCTTATGAAATTGGTAATCGGCACTTTGATAAAAAAATACTGCAATTATTAAAACCATTGTAAAAACCAATTTATTCATAATTCTTCTATTATCATAATATAAAATGAGAACCTGGCATTCTATAAATGCTTAATTGTTGATAATTTTGCCGAATCAAATACAATTAGTCTCCTATTCTACTTTACTCATAAAAGTTATTAACGATATAACAATAACAAATAAAGTGTATTGAAACACGTGAATGTTAGTAATAGGAATATGAATGGCAACTTATTACATATTAAAATAAACTCATATCAATGTAAACATATTAAAACTTTTAAAATTTTAGAGGGTAGAATCAAAACAATATCAACAACAGCAAAACTTCTTTTCTCCATTATTATTCATTACATCATCAATTTCCTTTCTGAACAATTCTTGTTCTTTTTCTCCGAACAATTCCATAATTTCATGAGCTCCTGTATCCAATCTTTGAGGAGCTTCACCAAAACCAACAAACAATGAATCACTCATTGTCATAATAGGAGCGCCCAATAAAAACAACAGCTTGCTTTCCGAAAAATGTTCCCATTATAACAGAAAAAACATATTCAGGAGAATCAACACCGTATTTCCTTGCAGCGAAAAATGATGCAACTGCACCGCAAACAGATGATGAAACCCATGAATATGTATCGAATGTTGCCTTTATGACTGTTGCAACAATGCATTGTTTGACCATTTTTCGAGATTTTTGTTTGAACCATCTCTTTACTCCATCTTTTGTACTTACACCAAACATCGCACAATATATCAATGCAAATCTATTAACAATCAACAATAATACCGTAACAATGCATTTGCAACATAAACACATACAATTGATAATACAAAATAGAGGATTTGTCTTTGATGTATCATTGACTTCATTGATTGTATCACAAATGCCTTGTAAAAGGCCTCCAAGAGCACAAGGACCAAAGCTTGGTCCAATCATATGTCTGAATGAAATCCAAAATGGAAAACGAGGCATATCTGGACTTTCATTTAAGAAATACCAGCATGAGCTGACACCAGCAATTACTGTATAACTGAAGTTCTTAATTGTATTTGTCAAAAAGAAATAAGATAGAATCACCCAAATATAAACCCAAGGACTGACATCATGATAATAAACAGCTACAGTTCCAACTTCAAATGCATAATTAAGAGCTGCTTGAAGGATAACAACAAATAATGTTAATATTACTGTGCTCGGGAATTTTGATGCAAGTAAAACTGCTGATTTAAGAACGCATGTACTGAACCTTATTTTTCCACAAAGTTTGAAACAGAATAAAAGTGGGAAAATGAAGCAATATATAGGAAGGGTAATTCTAGCTGCTAGATTTCCTTTTATCACTGTCAAAGCAATAACAGCACCTAACGCAAGAAATGAAAATAGGATCGTAAGACAGATAAAACATCCTGTGCATAAAAACAATAATAAAACGATCAAAAGAACAATACAAACTGCTGATCCGACACAGCAGAAACCAATAAACACTACATTATCTTTGGAAACTGGTTGATTTTTGTACATGTAAGGCTTTTTAGTTGCTGCAGGATCAACTAAATAAAGTAATACGCATGTGATTATAACAACAATCCAAAATAGTAAAGTAAAGAAGACGTTTTGTCATTTTCTGTGTGCTACAAAGTGTTGTGCGAAATTTTCTTCTGAAAATAATTGTGGTGTTCCCCAAAGTTCATCATATTTCGGATCCGTTAGACCGATTGGAATATCAATAATGCCTTTGAATTTTGCGATGTCTTCCTTTGTTTCTTCTAGCTTTTTCTTTGCGAAATCCTTGATTTTATCGGCAGTCGTATTTTTATTTTCTTCTGCCTTGACTTGATCATCATATGGAGTTTCTGGATCCATGTTTGAATCAGTAGAACTTTCGGGTTCGGCAGATACTCTGCTTCTCCCAAAAAATCTCCCCATCAAAAATTAAATAACGGACAATAGAGTCAGAAAAAAATTTTTTTTGGCCGCCGTTTCACATTATCACCAGAAAATATTCAAAAAGTCCTTTACAATTTTAATTGAATTTTCGTTGAAATTAAATGCACCATAACAACAGCAGACTAATTATTTTTTCAAGCGATTATTTCTTCTCACAATTTTTTTCAATCAATAGCCATTATTAATATCATGATTTGAACCGATTTTCCATGTGCTATCATTAAGTTATACAAGTAAACCTCTCAGATAATGTAAGCTTAGTTGACCTTGTCTAAATTCGTTCAAATCGATTCTTTTTATCAAAATTAATATCAAACTTGATTAAATGACAGCATAGGCTTGAGATTTCTGTTGGAATGCGAAAATGATTTTAATTAATAAAGAAATCAAAGAAGGAAGAAATTTTCATAAAAAAACAAATATATTTATTAAATGTTTCACAAAATGTTTAATAAAAACATTGACAAAATAATTACTAAACGTTTTAGTTTTACATACAAACAATATTACAATTTTTCTTTCTGATAAAAATAGTCCATGACTGTCTTGCAACTACTTGCACGACGGAACTTCTTCTGAGGGATAATAGGAATGCTACGACCAGATACTACTGGCCTCAGCTTCATTTTGTTAAGTAACAAATTCTTTGGCTGAGTAATCTTCTGGAATTGAGCCGCAGATTTTGGAACAGGAGCATCATCACTTCCCGAACTTATCTCCGAATCATCTCCATAAATTCCTTCAATTAATAAGATATTATAAGCTGCTGTTTTTTCTGTGAAGAGTTTGGCTTTCAAATCTGCAATAACAGTAGCTTTGTTGTAGCCCGATCCCTCAAGCTGCTTGATGATATCGCTCTTAATATGGGTATCTGTTGGCTGAGGAATGTTAACTTGGATTTTGGAAAAGAAAGGATGCTCTACAATCTCTTCAAGTGTAATTCTCTCATATGGGTCTTTGGTTAACATGCGTTTTAATAGTGACTTCGCATCATTTGAAATTTGTGAGGGAATGATCGGCTTCATTGAAAGGATATTTGTAAACAACTCGCTTTTACTATCATCTTCGAATGGGAAATTGCCGGTTAACAAACGATATAGAATGATTCCACAACGCCAAACTGTTAAAGTGAATGGATTTGTCTCATTTTTAATTTCTTCCGGTGAAAGATAGAATGGATGGCATTTCTTAACTTGAGAATTCATCGCTGTATCGAGAAACTGACAGTTTTCGAAGTCAAACAGCTTAAGATGTCCATTATTAGAAAGGCTAAAGTTAGATGCTTCCAAATAATTGTGACAAACTTGGAAACTTGAATCTAAGTACAAAAGAGTAAGGATCATTTCAGAAAACCACACACGAACTTGATCTTCATTAATATCTTTCTTATTTGTAATATACTCTTCAAGGTTTTTGTCACTTAAGTACTCCATGACGATAAATGATATGTCATCTTCTTCGAAGTAATGATAAAATCTGGCAATATAAGGATAATTTAGCCATACTATGGATTTTTATTTTCTCTCCGAATCTATCACTATCGATCATAGATTTGGAAATGACTTTGACCAAAACCCTCGCGTTAATCTTAACTTGGTGAGCTTTCCAGAGCTGATATTGATCTGTGCTTTTGATAAGTTCAACGAATTCATAGACATTGTGTACTGATCCCTCTTGAATCATAAGTTGTAAAATTATGATAAAAAACGTAAAAAAATTCAATAGAGTAAGAATTTTTATGTATCTTTTAAAAAATACTGGGAATAATATAATAAGCTAGTGCGCAGTTTTAGAAGTAAAACTTTTGAGTCCTCAGAATTAATAAACTTTACGAGGAGTAATTTTAAGGGTATAGTAAACTCAAAATTCTAGAGTTTTGAGAGTGCCAATAAACTCTATAGGCCTATATATATCTATATTTTAAAGGAGAGGTTACGCCATAATATTTGATATTATAAATTATTAATTCAAAATAAAAGTAGAAAATGAAACTAATTTTATTCTAACCTATATAAATATATCAATAATCTAAAATGATTATAGTCTGAACTATATTTTACCAGATTATCAAATATAAGAGAAATGAAATAAGGCATAAAAATATCATAGCATAATTATTGGATAAATGCATTAATAAATTATTTATATCATAATGAGAAAAAATCAAAATAAGAAAATGAGCATAATAATAATTTAATTAAAAACAAAAACAATAAATAAAATGTAATTTTCGTTAATCAAAGTCATCAATGTCTTCGTGTTCTGATTCCCATTCGGACTTGAAAACTTGATAATCTCCTCCTGGTACACTCTGAATGGATTTTTTGTATTTGTTCTGTTTTTTAGAACCTTTTGTAACAGTTTTTTGTTTCAATATCATTTTGGAGTAACAATTCTCTTCAAATGATTTGACACAATCTTCTGGAAGTGGGGGAAGATGTAATGCTTTTTGTATATCTCCGAGAAAATGCTCTGGATCATTCCATTCTAAGATTGCAACGTTAACTCTAATGTTAATGTTCTTCCAGGCTCTTGATTTGTCCAAATAGCATGCAATTTTGGAGTTAAACGCTTCATTCATGCAGGTAGATCCAATGGAAGAAACTTTGGAAACTATGGGTGTCCATTTGTGAACCCAGTCATAGAGCATGAATTGAAGTTGGATCGAATTGACACCTTTTTGCCATTCAAAGCATTTGTAATTGTGCGGTTCGCAAAAAGAATGATTGCCTACGTAATGGTAGACACAATTCTCCCACATTTTCGTACGTTTGTCAATATTTTCTTCGGCAAAACATGACCAAAGCCACATACTTAGGCTTGCATTCAGACCCCAGAAAGGTCTCTCTATTTTTTCAATCTTCTGAGTCTTGTCGTTGAAAACTTCAACTGTCTTATGAGAAGCTGAGAACTTTGTAAAATCTTTTGAGATATTTTTTGATACATGACCTGGATCGAATCTTTCAAGATGAGAGACGCCAAATTCTTTAAAGACAGAGACACTTTTGTTATCTCGGTCTTTAATAATCTCTTTAACATCTTTCAAGATATTGTATTTCTTTAATTGCTTCAAGATGATTCGAGTTCCAGCACTTTCCATATTGTTGGAAGCTCCGGAATACTGAGCATGCTGTCTGTTTCCACCAATATGGTTGATGTTCACGCATGCAAGAACTCTTTTTGTGACAGCATCGAGCGCAGTTACTGTACAACTTGGCGAGTTTCGCCTGTGCGTCCATCTTGCATCAATGGATAAGTAACCACTGAAGGACTTTCTCGACAGCATTAGGGAAATACTTTTAAGTCTTCTAATCTTATCGTCACAAAATCTCTGTTGTCTCATGACACCACTCTTCACAGGGGGCTTAGTTCCACAAAGAGAAAGAAAGCGAGCACCTTTTGTATATGGCATTCCGGTCATTATGCAAGCACCAAGCATCTGTCGCGCTGAGAGTCGACGACGTTCGTGGAGTAAAATGTTATGCATTGCCTTTGTTTTCCGTTTTGGGTGAACAATATGGCCCATACAACAACAAAAAAATGAAATCCCGCCAAAAGTGAAAATTGAATAAAAAGTAATAATTAATAAATATATACTATATCATTAGATGAATATTTTGGAATAACATTTTAAAATCGAGGTTTTTCAATGGATAACGGTTCAATCAAAAATTTGACCCCATTTTAGAATCTACATTAAAAATGGAACATTTCTGTCGTTTCAAAATTCCAAAATAACGTTTCTATTCCTCTCAAAAGTAAAAATAAACTTTATTGGGGAAAAAATATTTTTATTTTCCAAAAAAAAATGAAAACCTTAAATGCAAATCTAATTTTGATGCTTTTGTTTGTGATTTTTTGGATTTCGAAAAAAATTTGAAAATTCAGACAAGTTACCATTAACACTAATACGTTTCAGCGAGTCGGTCCCATCAGAGAAATTTTCATAAATCGGCGATATAATTTATTATTTCAGCAAAATATTCTCAGATCCAACTAGAATAAGGTCAAATTATACAAATTTAGCAAAGGCTAGTTATCCTACCTATTCAATTAACTTTAATTTTAAATAATTCAAGACAATTCTCAAAATTACCTTAATAATCGCGTTCTCTTCGCAAAATGACGATTCATCATTCACTACCAGCATAACTGAGGGCTTGTGCTCACAGAATAATACAGATAATTTACTTATTAATGCAAAATTTAGTACCAAAAGGTAATCATAGAAGATACAAAAAAAGTTTCTTTATTTTGATTGCTGATTTTATTTCTTCTAAAATTTACCAAATCTAAAAAATCCAAAATTGAATGCTATTGAATTTCATGTTTATGTAACATATACTATTTATTATATAAGGAATAAAAATTTTATAGTTTTAATCAAAAATAAAGGTGTACTAAATGCATACAAAACAAGGTATTTTTTACTCATCCAAAATATGTTAACAGTGCTATTTATATAATCAATATCCGAATTTCGAAATCATTTTGATGAAATCTTTATTTTAAAATTGAGTTGACTGTTAAAATCACCCGAGAAGAGGGATTATCTCAATGAAAAGTACATAAAATAGCAAACGCACAAGATGGCACTATGCAGCTTTATATTGTTATACAGGATGAACATATAAAATGTTTGGAAAACACTTACTTCGTTCTACAAATGTGTATCTCTTTATATCAAAGATTCTTCTCAAATTATTGAGAGACTTCTCTCAAAAAAAGGAAAATTTGATAACTAAAAAAAATTATGCCATAACCTCTCGTTTTGCATAGATATATATTTACATGGTCACAGAGCTTATTTTCATTGTCAAAACTTAAAAATTTTTAGTGGACTATACCCTTAACAAATTAAATACTGATATTTAGAAATAATTTAGTCATTTGCACCTAATTTATAATGAGATAAATCCGTCCAAAAGGTTCACCTGAATTATTTTGAATAATTTGAAAGTGTTAAGAAAAGTGGCCCACTTTTGGTATAGTAAAAATTTTCTGAAGATTATTAATCAGAGTGATTAATAGAATTCAAAAGAAACGCTAAGAGTCACTTATCAATTTTAGTTGGTCTCAAATGTGCCGATAATATGCAACGTAGCAAACACAAACACGCACATATTTTGACATAAACTCTTTTTGAATATTATCAAAAGTGTCACATCTTTGAATACAATTCTTTCAATTTATTGTTTTGAATCCAAATTTTTAAATAATATTACAATAGTAGCTTATATTGAGTTTCACAAAAGATGGTTTTGACGATCATTGACATCCCTCAAAAGTGATTTGGAAATAGTTATTAATATTGTGTACCAGTTGTGAATGAAATTTTAAATTAATTTTTGAATTACAGTTTTATAAGGTAGTCACAAAATCTAAGTAGTGAGGCTCTCAAAAATTGAACCGTACTCCATACAAAATTTGTGTACCCTCACTACTTAGATTTTGTGGCCTTCAATTGAGAGGTTAGTTTTGATAGAGCACATTATAAAATTAAAAGGGAAAAATAAATAAAATTTAAACATTTAATTATATATAATGTAAGGAGTGTAATTCCAAATTTTCTAAAAACTATTCAAATTTGAGCATTTTTTTGGAAATAGTAAATCTAATATGTACATCTAATAACAACATGATTCATCACCTTTTCAATCTCTGCAGTCAATTTTTTGAAATTTGATTGAAATAAATGTAGCAAAAATTACATTTCATTAGGGAATATATGAGTTTCTCTGGAAACAGGCTGATAAATTTTAAATTTTGTCCAATCAACATGAATGCATTGAGAAATTTGGATTGATTTTCTGGTAGAATCTGGAACAATTCAACCATGTATAAATGGATCATGTAATCATCATGAAATGTTAGTTTTAGAGTTCAAAAGAAACAGAATGAGTGGAAATCAAACACAATCTGAATAATTTTAAACGTATACAATCTTTAAGTTTGTATTTTGAATTCTACATATATGATTGTGTAATTCGTTCCTTCAAATTTTCGGATTCAGGCATGTTTTGATAAAATTCATTCCCAAAAACGTCAATTAACAATTAAATTTAGTGTATTTTAAATATATATACGTATTATATTTTATAAATTATATTAAATTCGCAAAATTTTAAGTTTTAAACAAAAATAAAAAATGTTCAAAATATGAAATTATGCATAGGATATTAAAATTTACATGTTAGCAATTTTTTTGAATTGCTTTCAATTTTCATATTGAAATTTTTAAGATTTTTTTCTGAAATAATAAGCAAGAATATCAACCTAAATAATATTAAATTCCATGCGTTAATTTCCTCTCAAAAGTCATTGACCGCCTCTCAATCTAGATTTTGTGAGTACTTTATTTTTCGAGTACGTTTAAATTTTTACTCTCTCCATCCAATTTTTCTCTCTATTTTTATTATTGATGAATTATATATTCTTATGACATTCCATGTGATTGATACACGAAGACTTATTGAAATCTATCGAGGAAATCTGTAGATATTTTTATCTAAAAAAAATTATTTAATATATATAGATTGGGCATTTGATGCAACAATATATTTGATATGTATATAGTGCATATTAGATAAATAAATATTTGCTTTGAATTTTTTTATATCACACCTTAAAAGCATTTAACCAGCAATAATTTTAAACACAATCACTAATGTAAACCTTTCTGAGATATTTAAGCAAGTATTTTCTCTTTTTGCAGATTTACGATCAGAATCTGGAGCGACATTTGAACATGAATTCATGAATTGATGTAGAAATTTGAAAAAAGAAATTTGGGAAGATTTGATGTGCAAACTTTGTTAGATGAAATTTCAGAATAAGAATTATACTATATTATAGATTTTCCTTTTTGTTCTAATTACCATGGGATCTGAAATACATGTTTTTATTTTTTCTTTAACCCCATTGATTGCGGTTAAAGAGATTAGAAAATAACAGTTTTTATCAATGATTTAGTTGAATAAAATTATATTTTTCATGTTAAAAGCCAACGATATTATAATATCATACATTGATAATTGAATTGGTTTCATAAAAATTTAGAATCTTGTCAAATCAATCTCATATTCAGTATCATTATTTCCAACTGCTCGCATATAATAACAAGAAATATTCATTCATTATTTTTGAATAGTGTTTTGTGAGGAGAGAATAAAAATTTTATATTCTAAATGCTTATATCTTTTATAGCATATTTATACCATAATTGCACATATAATTCAACCCATAGAGATATCCAACAGCAATTCATGAAAATTCCTTTCAAGAGACAGCTTAAAGGAATATCATGGTCAAATATACGAATTTATTTCGATTATAGATATATGAATGGAACACATGATGACGAATTAACATGCATTAATGTTGGCCAGAGCGTGAAATGGCAGTCCACTCAATTCACGTGCAGTTCTGCTGATATTCTAAATTCTTCACATATAAAAGCTGCTGTTGAGACAATGGAAAATGTTAGGATATTTCTTCAAAAACTTCTCAAAGTTATTCCATTAGATAGTCCGATTTCTGTAACAAATTACAACGGCTGGACAAACTATAAATTACCATTCAGTGTATCAAATGTGGATTTATATATGGGAATACTTTCAAGGCCTTACGGCGAAAATAGTAATATTGTTGCATCTGCAGGATCAAATATTAAGGAATCAACTTTTTACAGGCCAATTCATGGTGCTGTTTTCTTAAATCCAAGATTTATACCAACAATTGCTCAGAGCGAGAATTCAACAAATAATGCATTTTTCTATGTTTGCATTCATGAAATATTCCATGCACTTGGAATTGGAAGTGATAAGTTCGAGTTATTTCATCCCTATGAAAATTCCACTAGGTATTCTCCGATCTATTGTTCATTGAATAAATCAGGAAAGATCATGAAATTCATCATAACACCATATGCACATTTGTTTGCTACAAAACAATTCGGAACTGAAATATTCATTGGTGATAATGGAACTTGTCCATCAGGTATCGAAATTGAAGATGGTGGTGGTTTAGGAACATCCGAAAATCATTTGGAAGGAAGAACATACATGACAGAACTTATGACCGGAGCAACAATTCAGTCAAGTGCAGGCCCTTTTAATAGATTAACTGATGCATCATTAGCTTTATTGCAAGATTCAGGTAATTACAAGGTTGACTGGAGTATGGGCCAACCGTTAGTTTGGGGAAATTCCGAGTCAATTAATGATAAACCTATTAAAGATTTTGCTTATGGTTCTCCATCTTCAACATTTCCATCTAATTATATTTACGATTTCAAATCAGAATATAATTCATATACAGGTTTTAATTACAAGTATTATGGTCCGACAATACCGAAAAATCAATGGAACTGTTCAAATTCTTCAAGCTTGACCTCAGCAGATGCAAAAGAATATTGTGCAGCAAAAGATTTTTATAATCCATATAATGAAGAAACAATAGGAGCTATTTGGGTTTATGATTTCATGCCATTTATCTATCCACTATTTATTTGTGGAAATGGAGAAGGAGTTATCCAGTCAACTGTGCAAGATATTAACATTTGTGGTACATATAAATGCGAGGGATATGAAAGTTTCACTATAGAAATACCAATTGATAGAGAAGGCGGAAAAACAACTTTAAAATGTGATTCATCAAATGCTGGAGTGAAGGTCTCTGGTAAGATTTATGATTCTTCAGATCATTCTGGATCATTTCGTACTTGGGATTATTGGTGCCCTCCTCCAGAAAGATTCTGCAGATCTGTTAAGTTACATGAGATGCATTTCAAAAATAATCCATTCCTTAGTTATACAAAGCAATTAGAAGATGTTTCAGAGGCATCAAATCAATCAAGTTCAATATCTTATACAGAATATCTCCCTCACACTTTAACTAATACAGCAAATCAATCAATTCCTATTACTTATACAACTGAAATCAATTCAAACAATGAATCTGGTTCGAGAGATTTCTGGTCTAAGAAGAAATGGATTATTATTGGAATTGTAATAGCAATTGCTATTTTAATTATCATTATTATCATTATCACATTAATTGCAAAGAAACATAAAATCGATGAACCTGAAAATGATGAAAATAGTAATGACGATGGATACTTGGTTTGATCATATTTTTTTATTGAAGATTTTGAAAAGATCATAAATAGAGTCACCATATTCAAGTAGACTCTGTTTCTGTAACAACAGCTCTTACATATGAAATATCTATTAAATTATAAGAATTACTTTTATTTTTAATTTAATATGTAATAAAAATATACTTTTCATATGCAAGTGAGTAGTTTGAATTCCAATTTGGTGATTTTTGTCTACTAAAAAATGATGTATTCGGGATATTTCATTTGCATTATCAGTTTTGACAAATAGATAATTAACAAAATGATTTATATACTTTCAATTTATGCAGTTATAAATGTCTTTGATCAAATGCACTTAATTTATAAATTTTTATCTTGAATTACCGTATAAATTTCAAATAATTTTAGTGCAAATTAATTTGTATAGCATATATATTCATAACAAACATTTTTAAATACATTTTATTTGAGATGTCAAAATGATGTAAAGCAATTTTCAATAATAAGTCTCATAATCAGCTTTTGTGTATAGAGAATATTCTAAATTTTCATTCCTGAAGCAAAAATCCTAGATTTGATTTTTGTCACTTTTCTCAAAATTTGCATTGAATTCCTCAAATTCTCAAGATCATTTAAAGGAAATTTTAGAGGAATTTCAATCAAACAATGATTCTAAAGATCCAACCGATCGTTTATTCGATGCTTTTAACATGGTTTCCAAAATCCCAGATGAAACTTCATCCAATAACCAAAAAAATCCTATAAAAACAACACCAAGCAAAATTGCAACAATCTTTGATGTTGTTAACGCGTTTTTGGAGTTCTTCACCATTGATTTTTCGATTCCAAACAACCAAATTTCATTTTTCGATGCATTTTTACCACTATTTAACTCATTAATCGACGTTGTTACAAAATCTAATCAATTTTCTAGCAATGAACTTGAATCTTGCTGGATGTTTTTTCAAAATGAATTTAGGAAAGCTTCTCACTCTTTACTATCATTGAATCTGAAAGATACTGTTCTAGAGTTAATCAATAAGTCTAAACAAATACAAGTATTCGGTCTTTTTAGTGAAATTTTAACAAAATTATTTCATAAATACGAAGCTGCAGCCCAATTCATCGATTACCAAGGAAAATCTGCCGTTTGCTTTGGAGTTTACCAAGATTGTACTTCATTACGCCAAGAATTTTTCAAACAAATTGAAAATTCCCAAAAAAAGTCTTGGCAAGACATTATTCCTAATGACATCTACATTTTAATGAAATACATCGAAGAATCAATGCTTTTCTACTGCAAAATCTCCAGATTGAAAGAGTTAGTAATAGATGTATCTTCGCAAAAAGATTTTGTGGCAAATACATTGAAAACAAACGTTGATTCAAAGAAATTCTTTGAGAACATGACAAGAGTCATCAATATAATACTTAGAAGCATGTTTTTATCTCAATTATCTGATAATGATATAAATATTTTTTTAAATTTGTTTTCTGAAATCAACAAGATAACTATTTTGTCCAAGACACAAATTTATTACTCACTTTTTGAGAATTGGTCGGAATTTTCAAAAAATTTGAAACAAATTTTGAAAATTTCACCAACAAATGAAGAAGAAAAAGCATTTAACAGTCTCCAAGAAGAAATCAAAAAGAATGGATTCGGTATCCCACAAATAACATTTTATTTAATTGATATCGAAACCAAATATTCAGAAATCAAAAAATCTCCACAAAATTATTTATTTTCTTTGAATCTTTTTACTGTTTTATCACAAATTGTAGGCTTATCCGAATCAATGAACCTCAGAAATGCTGTTTTGAACTTCAGGAACTTCATTACGAAAAGAATTTATTGTTTATCTTGTTTTAAGATTTTGGAAAATTCTTTTGAATTAATTAAACTTCATTTTGACAAGGAAAGTTCGAAAACATATCAGTTTGGTCGTGCATTGACTAATGCTTATGAACAGATACAAATATTAGGTATGAAAACGAATCCTCAGTACGAACACCATATTTCTCGTTATAAATGTTATTTGACGTCAATCAAAGCAATTTCTAAAATTGATGGATATGAAAAACAACTTTCTGAATTGTTGAAATGGCATCCAAAAGCAGATATCGTTGAGAAATACTTTATTCCAATAGAAACAGTTGAAAAACATCTAAGTGAAATGGAAATGATTTCGAAAAAATCTCCTTTAAATGGTCAGATTGAAAAATTGCAGAAATTTCAAATTGGAACACAAAATTACTCAGAAAAAATGTCTTTGATATTCGAGTCATTGTTGTCTAATTCAATGATAAGGAAAGATATTTCTGACTGTTATTTAGGATTGGAAGAATTTTTGAATACAGTCAAACTTTTGGATTCGAAAAATGATTTAATCATCAGAGAAAAAGCAGAAGGAATTACGCCGCAAGTTGAATTGATTGATACAGGAATTTCTCTTGTGAAAAATTCTAATTTGTCTAGAGAAGAAAAGGCAGAATTGGTCATCGCATTGGCAAATTTGAATTTATATACAATGTATAAAAATTTTGATGAAAATGAAGTCAAAAAATTGACAGAAAACGTACTTTTGACATTAAAAGTGCCATACAACACTGATGTCGTAAGAAGTATCTTTTCTTTAATGAACTATTTAGATTTATTGAATGAAAGGAATCCTTTGGATTTTTATGATGAATTTTATCAATTTTTCACTTCACTTTTGGTCGGCCAATTTCCAGAATTCGAGACAATTGAACAAAAAATTGCTCTTTTTGTTACGAAAGTTGAGAGTGATTCTCTTGATTTTGAATTAGAAGAAATCAAAAATTATATTTCTAATCAAAAATCGTTTATTTTTATTTGTCAAAAATTGATTGAACCAAATCCAAGAAATATAATGCGATATTGCTTTGATTTCTCTATTTTCCAGTATATTTCGAAAGAGCTGAAATTCCTATTAGAATATAATTTAATTTGCAATGACAAGAAAATTGGAATAACTCTTTTATTGTCAGAGATTGATTCAATGATGAAATGCAATTTAAAGAATTTTATAAATGATTTTGAAGCACACAAAATCCCAGAAATTTTGTTGTCGAAGTTAGATAGTTTATGGCCGTTTGTTAACTTCAAAAAACTTTATTTATCTTTCTCTTCTCAGTTAGAAATTTTGTTTTCTTTAATTTCAAGTTCAAATTTCTTGAAATCAATTGATTTCAATGAAAAATTGACAAAAAGTGACAAGTTATTGAAAGAATTTTCTTTTATTCAAAACAAATTAACGCTTTATGATATTCATGGTATAATAAGTGATATTCCACAAATGGTTTTAGACAAATTAACGAAGAATCGTCAATACAGAAATTCATTTGAAGTTGTCATGTTTCGAAAGAAAATTTCAGTTTTAATTCATTATGTTTCATCAGTTTTGTTCATGATGAATGTTACTTTTTCGCAGAATCCAGAGATGTATAACTTGATTTTGAATTTCAGACATGTTGAATTACAAAATGATTCTTCTTTGTTTAAAAACAAAAATAATTTTTATCTTTTTAGTTTGGCTGATGAAATTTCACAGTATGACGTTTCTCGAATTCATTTCGAAGAATCACAAAATGTGAACAAACAAATAAAAGAAGAAATCAATCAAATGAAATCAAAGATTGATCATTTTGAAGAGAATAAACAAAATAAAATCAATTTTGAAGCAGAAAGACTCAAAGAATTTGAAAAAGAACTAGAAATTGCTAAAACAAATAAACAAAAAGCAACAGAAAACACATTATCTCTTAAGATGAAGAAAAATCAACTTAAAGATGAATTGATTTCATTTATTTCTTCTAAAAGAGAAATGAACAAATCAGAAAACAAAATGTCAGCAGCTCTTTCTCTTTTGGTTGATGATGACATTTCTCAAACAGAAGATTATAATTCTTTTGATGATTTGTTGATCGAAAATCTCAAAACAAATTTGAGATTGAAGAAGACAATCGAATTAATGAAATATCCTAAGATCAAACCTTTGTTCAATGCTAAAGAGTTTTATGAACTTATTGATAAGTTCAAAATTACGAACAACAAAGAAACAGAATCATTTGAAGTTATTTCTAAACATCAAAACAATAAAGTTTCATTGTTGAGGAATTTGAGTAACTTGAATGAAGAAAGGGATCTTTTGTTCAGACAAGTTGTTTCTGAAAACAAAAATCCAACTGAGAAAAGAACATTCCAGACAGAAGATTATTACCGAATGATGGTTGCTCTTAGTAAGACAGAAATCAACGAAGAAACACCGAAGAAATCACAGAAAGACTTCTTCATCGAATTTGCAGAGACATCAGATGCATTTCTTCTTGAAATCAACGAAGAAATCAAAAGTTTGGAAGATGAAATCAGCTCTTTAGAGGGAAACACACAAACTGAATCAGGACACAAAGATATTAATCTTCTTAAAGAAAAGATCCTCAACTTTTCAGAATTAAAGTGAAATATCTATTTATTATATAATATTGTTTTATGAATAAATGCTTACTTTTTTATAGATATTAATGTCCTTAGTATAAAGTTTGTTCACTAAATAAATCTTTCGCAATTACATCATCAAAAATGATCATTCACAGTTTCTTTATCATTGAATGATTTATTTTCATCCGAAATGTCTCCTTATCGTACTCTTCTACTCAATATTGAATGAGAGACTTTATGATGGGAAATGAAAAAAAAAAAAAAAAAAAAAAAAAAAAAAGGTAGTGGGGCCTCCAGGCACTTCGTGCCCTCTAGCCCTGAAGATGTTTAGTATAACTTTGTCCGGACAAGTAAGGGTCTATCGTCGCTACAGGAAAAGTTACAGGCGTTCCAAGGAAGTATACTTTGAGAAGACTTTCCCCCTTATAGAATGAGATAGGACGGTTATTTTACAAAACTGACAACACTTTGACCGAGTAGTTTTTTGTGCTGAACAAAAAGTGTCATATAAACATCTGTCAAAAACCGTTTTTTACTTCACTTAAAATGCCACGTAAGCTACGTAAGAATATACGTAAGAGGAAGGGAGCATTGAAACATCCAATAGTAAAACTGACACCACAACAACAGTTGCAACAACAAATGATGAATGACCCCACTATGTTGCAACAAATGTCAAGCAACCCTATGCTTTTAAGCCGAGTTATTGGTGCACAGAGTGGAGGTTTAAGAGCGGCACTTTTAGCGAAAATGGCAGGCTATGGTGGAGCTGCAGACGGAACAGCTTATAACCCTCAAAGTCAAATGAATTTGAGTTCACTCAAAAATCAAATAACAGATGTCAAAAAGTCAAACATAGACATACAGAAACAAATAAGTGAAAACGAAAAGAAACTAGAATATGACAGACACACAAAGAAACTCAATGAGTTAAACGTAGAGAAAAAGAAGAAAGAAGAACAACTGAAAGAACTAAGTACAGAGGAATATGCAAAAAAAGTGTCAGAAAAAGCAGCAGAAGTAGCAAAAATGGAACAAGATGTTATAAATTTGAAAAACCATACTACTCAATATAAAGTACTGAAAGATGAAGAAATAAAACAAAAAGCCCTGAAGACATATATGGATAGCGATGAGTATAAAAAAGAAGTTGAAGCAAATGTAAAGGCAGAAAAACTTTTACAGTTGCAAAACCAAACCGTACAGTATGAAAACTTAGCACAAGAAAGTAAAAATAACGACGCAGCCATGCAAAAGGCAATGAAAAGCGCAGAATATATAAAAGCTAATAATGACTGGTTAGACGCCCAAGCCAACGCTAAAGCAGCCCAACTTATAGGGTCAATAAGGACAAAAATACAAGCGGATGAAGACAGTTCAAATGAAGCTTTAATGAATGCTGACTTTAAGAACGCCTTCGAAGCTCTTCATAGTAAGGTGAAACTAGTGAACGACTTCTCATCTGGAAAGAAACTGAAGTCTGAAGGTTTCGACAAAGAGTTAAGAGAAGTAGCACAAAATATGACGAAAATAACAGATGCAGCAACGAGACAGGCAGTTCAAAGTGCCTATGACGCCGTTAGAGCAACTGTTGTGGAAAGTCAAGAAAAAGAGTTACAACAGACCAAAACAGACCTAGTAAATGCTTTCTTAAAAACGAAAAGTCAGGTAGGACATTATGCTGCAGATGGAACATATGTGCCAGCTGGTGGAACTTATATACCAGCTGGTGGAACTTATATACTAGCTAGTGGAACTTATATACCACCAAACCCTCCAAGAGAAGCACCTGCACCAGGACTACCTAAAACATTTACATCGTCACATGGACACAGACACAGGCATGCACCAAAACCAACACAACAACCAACACAACAACCAACAGTTCAAAACACTGCACCACAACCAACAGTTCAAAACACTGCACAGCAACCAACAGTTCAAAACACTGCACCACAACAACCACAAACAGAGCAAGGACATAAAAGAAGTAGAGAACAAGGAAACCAAGAATTCTTAAAAATGCTTAAGGAAGACTATGGTTACCCAGATACTCTTGACTTTAGTGACAGATATAAAGAAGCTATTAGAAAGTTCAAGGAAGGAAATACTGACCCGAACCTATTTAGCTTTATGGTTCAGCACCAAATGGGATATAATTTCAAACCTGGAAAATACAAGCTCGCTAAGGGATATGATTTAATAGCATATCATCCAAATGACATGACTGAATTTACTCCGAGATATTTGGTGTCAGAGCTAAATGATAATTCAACTCTCTTCATGAAACGCGTAAAAAATAGAGACGGAACGAAAGAAGAAAGGTTTATGAGTCCGGATGACTTAGATAGGGAACTTTTTAAAAACGGTCTCGGAATATATGAAATGCCAGCAGATGAGGTACAAGAAACTCCACAGGAAGAAGTTCAGATACAACCAGACATGGAAGAAATAGTTCAGCAACAACAGCTAGAAGAGCCTGAAGGAAACGAACAAGTCCCTCCTTTGGAAACTAACTTCACAGAACTAGATGAAGATTTGGAACAGCCGAAAAATCTTGACCCTCAACAAGTGTATGCGGGGAATATGGAATCTTTCCAAGAGTCTAAGAAAAATTCGGCTGACATAGTAGAAGAATATCGAAAAATGTTCGCCGACATACAAAAGACTCCAACATCAGATGAAAATATTCAGCATAGAATGGAAGAACTGAAAGAAAGTGTACGCAAATACAACAATCCTTTTTACTTACGAGCATATAACGTTCAATCTTTGGATGAACTCGGTGAAAATAAAAGGTTAAATTTCAACAAAACATATAGAAATGAAACATTGTTTAAAGTTCATTCAGAACCTAACCAATATGGAAACAAACCTACTTTTGTTTCTGCAGACTATGGAACTACAATGAGATGGGGTCATAAAGCTAATCCGGATAGGTGGTTCATAAACTTACAACCACAATTCCAAGAAGTTGTAGACGCAATGGAAGTGAATGGTGAACCAGATGTAGCTGGTATTTTCAGCGCGGCTTTAATGCCATTGAAAGATATGAAAGATGCAGATATTTTGGACCGGTATGAAATGAACATGGCTGATGGAAATATAACACCTGACGTTCTAGAACATTTATCTCAAAGAACTACACAGAACCATAGAGATGGTATATTTGGTGAAGAGTTTAGAAAGAAAGTTAGGGATAGAGAAGGAAGAGAACCTATTGTACATGACCTTGCAAACGAAAGTTTACAAAATGTCATAAAAAACTTACTTTGCAGACAATGAACCGAGAAGGGATGAATATTTAAGAAAACTCAAATGGACAGTACCAAATGAAATGTTAGTATTGAAAAACATGTTCCTTGACAAAATAAAACCAACTACAGAAATAAATGACGCAAGACTGAAACATTGGGTAAAAGCTTTCCCATTCACAAAAGATATTATTGGTAACATGGAAAGAAAACCAGAATGGCTACAAAAACATATATTTGGAAACGAGCTTATTCCATATGGACAAGCTCTGTTTGAAGAGCTTGAACCGGAAACTCAGGAAAGAGTCATGCAAACAATACGCGAAGACTCAAATACAAACTATGACAAAATCTTTCTAGGATATAGGTTACCTGAGATGGGCGACCAGAGCCCAAAGGCAAAAAAGGACACGTATACTAGGTGAACATGAGGCAAAGATGCAACAACTTGAAGCAGAGGGCAAGTTACCAAAAGCGACACCAAAGAAGAAGAGTTGTAGAAAGTAGTGAAGAAGTTACTTCATCTAGTGAAAGTAGTGGCAATGAAGGAAAAAGAAGAGTTAAAAACTCAGTCAGGAAGAAAGTAAAGCTTGGTACGAGTGGGTTCTATTATGATATATAAATCCAACTATTCTATATTTTTTACCCATATGAAATGTACGCCGCTCAGAATATAACGCCAACAGTTTTGGATGCCATGAACGGAAATGTTTCCGAATGGTATAACGAATGCGACAATGCCATTAGAAGGTCAGAAATAGTTCCTGGAACTTACGAATATACAACTGCTGTTTCTTATGGAAACGTAGGTGAGTTTGGAGAAGGCTCTTCAACAACAGTAGATATTGCTTGCGACAGGTTTCATATTATTTCTATTGACAACTCATTCTTATACGTGGAACAAGACATTGAAATAAAACCTTCTGCCAAGTTGTCTGACAAGAAAGGTTGCAATGGAATTTTCTATGTCGGATACCAATATGCTCCAGAAGTTTTCATGGGATATAAGATATATTCTAACTCTGACTTAGTTCAAACAGTAACATGGGCAAACTATGAATGGTTCGCTTTGAGAAACTCAGTACAACCACAAGCTAGAGAACAAACAGACCAGTATGCAAATATTGAGAAAATAAGAAGACTTGACCCTAACGTTCCAGGAGTTTATGTTAACCTTTCTGGTTCAGATGGAACTGCTGCCACTAAAGTAAAACTGAAACTTAGAGTTCCTTTGTCATCTTTCCTCATCTTCAGGTTTTTAAGATACTTGCCAAACTGGGCAGGAAAAATTTCTATTGAACTTACTCCAAGCAAAAATAACTTAGTCATTGCACCAACACAAGACCCATTCAGCATTACTGTAGCTGGAACTGGTGGAGCCAAGTTCTGTGACTTTTGCAAAGACAAAGTTGACTTAGACTTTGGTTTCTCAAACTTCAACAATGAAGTAAACTATTATTTCAATGCTGCTGGAACTGCTTGGGACCCAGTTAAGTTCACATGCGAAAAATTTGAATGCAAGAGAATAGAAAGCAGACTTGCAGTCTATATGTTGGACCCAGATATTTCAAATGCTTTAGCTGCCAAATATATTGCAGTTCCACTTATGTTCCCTATACACCAAATATCTGTCAAAGACTTTGCAGGTGAAGTTGGAAACCAAAAGTGCTGACCCAGGTGCAAGAACAGATATTGCTTTAAACAACTGCAATGAAACATGCAGATACTATGTTTGTACTGTTCAGACGAACTATAAATGACTATTCTTGTTTCTACAACCCCGGTATTAAATATCATATAAACATAGATGGCAAATATTATCCAAGAGAAGAATATTCTACAGTTGAGGATATGAGGTCATACAACTTGACATTAGATGCTATGAACTTTAACAACAACTTCACAAACAACCATAAACCCTGAAATGCAAAGTTCTATTATGCCATATGTGAAAGTATGGACTCATACAGGAGGTCAAAAAACTCAATATACAAATGGAGACCGTTCAAACTTTTGGCTTGGCATTCCATTTGCTGACTCAGAAGACTTTATGGGTGGTATTTCAACTGTTGGTACTGTACAAATACAATATACTGGTGACAGAGACGGTCCAGATGAACTGAGAGCAAAGAAGTTTACAAAACCAATAGCACTTTTCACGGAAGATGCTCTTTTGAAGATTCGTTCGATGAACCTGCTGGGGCTCCTCAGATTGGCATAACGACAGCTTCCATCGAGCAGATTTTGGCAGCAGGTCAGTAAGTTGTTCTTGAACTGACTTCTCTCCGTCAAATATTGACAGTACGCCAGTTTGACATAATATTTGTAAGATAAACTTACCTTTAGAAATATCTGTAAGTTTTGAAGTTATATTTTTGTCTGCTTCAAGAACTTTCACCATTTCAGTTATACCAACTTTCTTTGCTTTATGAAAATATTTTGGTTCAGCAAATATTGCTATTCTATAACATTTTCCATTGTTTGTATAAAGAACTATTCTGTCAATGTATTTGTATTGTTTGTGTGTGTAAACTTTGTTCTGCTTCAATTCGAAGAGATACTCGAATACGTCCATCTTTTTATTCTAAGTAAAATGTCATTTCCGAAAAATAGAAGCGTGAGTGTTTCAAAAGGTTTAATGGCGGTGGCAGATGTGAAGTTAAATTCACCAACTCAAACAAACAGTCAAAGTGTTGTTGTCAATGTCAAAGACAGAGATGTTGAAGTGGGGAAACCATACGAAGAGACGAAGATGGTATAGCAATTGTTCCTGTAAAGAACAACCAACATACCCTGAAGTTAGCAGAGACTTAATTCTGTTGCAGATATTCGAAACGACTACCAACAACTGAAAGACAAACTTCAAACTCAGGAGAAGATTTGTCAAGCTTTAAGTATAATGTTAAACTTGGTCGAACACAACCCTGTAAAAGTGAACTCATATGTCATCGCACCTCATGAAGTTTTGAAAGAACTATTGAAACTTTTGACAGAGGCAGACGATATAAACATCAAAGAAATAGAACCTGACATTGCTTGCTGTGGTGTTTCATATAATGTCATTGACAAGATATACGTTATGAAAGGAGGTGAAACGTTGAACTTAAAATATAGTTTCCCAGACGTTATAAAAATATTTGACGACCACAACATTTCATTAAAATTTATTTGCTAAGTAAATGGCAGAAGACATAATGGTTTATACTATTACGACTAAAAACCCTGAGTCATTATAATTCTATAACAACAAACTTACAAAGTCCTCAAGGACGGTATTGTAAACTAACTTTAAACACAAATGACGACTAAAGCCTGTTTTGCTCTTTTGACACCAGAAGACTTTATTGTTGTGAATGGTAAAAAATACTCCTTTGAAGATACTTATTCAGATATACCACCAACAGGTTTTGTTGACTTATTTAATACTTTAAGGACGGATGTAACATGTGCTGCAACTAGAGCAGGTTTCATTATGTTTGGATGTCCGACTGAGTTTAGTATAAACGATATGAGCTATAATACAAAACTTATATCTGGTTTTTACTACCAACAGTTTCCTATAACAGGAAAAGGTGTCATACAAGAATGTCTATTCCATTGACATTAAGCACACCAATCTTATATATTGTTTCAAACTTAGGTTCAAAGTGTTATATCGAATGTCGACAGAAACTATTATGACCA